CCTAGCGAATAGCTCTTAAAACCGTAATAATAAACTTATTTTACGCCTCGCGTTTATTATATTAATATATAACTTACGTTAATATAATATTATAAGCTCGCTATAATAACGAACGATAGTAAGGAAGTACCGTAATTAAGAGACGACTTACGTAAATAAAATACGTACGGATAAAGTAATATATAAGTTATATTCGTAATCGAAAGTAATAGGGAATTAAAAACGAGCGTATCGGATTAGTTTTAGATATACCTCTATAGAAGAAAAGAGGAGAGGGAGAGAGCTACTACGAGAGAGTAGGAGAATTTTCTCTTATAATATAGGAGCTCGAGTATAGGGAGAAGCGTTACCGGGTATTAACCTAGTAAAGCTACGAGAGGGTTCGCGTACGATAATAATAATATAAAGCGACGTAATAAGAGCCCTTACGAGCGTATAACGAATACGGTAGATATACTTAATTAAGAGCTACGATATATCTCTTTTATTAGGATATTAAGAAAAGCTAATATAATAGCTAATTAGGAGGATACTTTAAGCTATTATGAGTATTATATAGAGGCGTAAGTAACTAAAGCGACGAGTATATTACCCCGGAGAGCTAGCGAAGCGAGTAAGGCTCGAGTTAACTTAGGACTTTTATTAGGAGGATAACTAAGCTAATTATCGCGAGCCTTTCGGTTAAGTTATTATTATTATTTAGCTAAGCTCGCTATCGCGAGCCTAGCTAGGGGGTATATTACGTAAAGAGCTACCTATATATAGCTCCCTACTCCTTCTTTAATTACTCGCTTATCTAATATAGCTCTTAGTTCGCTTATATAATATAGCTCGTAGCTTCTTATTATTTATATATAGGTAGCTCGTATCTCCTTTATTTATCTCCTGGCTTCTTAGAGAGTTAGTTAATTTACCTTCTTCTTCCTACCTTCCGTTGCTCCTAAGAAGCAACCTTAGTACCTACGTAGCTCTCCCGATCTACGTAATATATTAGAAGTTAAATTCTTCTTTTAGCTTTCCTATCGAACAATCCCTTTCCTTAAATTAATATTTAGATTATTAATTTTCAAATCTATTAATCAAAGAACGAGCTTTTAGCTAAGCTGATTAAAAGCTGTTAGGAGAGCGTTGGTTATTAGGAAATGGTCGCTATGGTTGTTGCTCCTCCCTATTGGTCTTGTTACTTCAAAAGACTCAATCTAAATGCTACGGAAACGGCTCTAGATCTACGAAAACAGCTTTTCATTAGTTAAAACTCTAAGAATCTCTTGATCGACGTATTCTAAACCTATTAACTAGAAAAACAGTTGTAAAAAGTCGCTCTTAAGACTGAGGTAAGGTTGCGGACAAGTTACTAGGTAGTTGCTATTAAATAAGAGCAGTGTAGGCACGCTATTAGAGACCTATATAAAGACTACATATCTACTAATAGCTAGCTTAGTACCGATTGAATGAAATTATAACCATAATAGCTATAATTAATTAATCGGCTAGCTAAAAACAATAGTTAGAAAGAATAAAGGCTAGAAGAGAGTAGCGATAATCGAAGGCATAGCAAAACGAGTAAATAGTATTATAGAACTTAATATCTATAGGACTAAGTCTTATCAATAGAAAGACAAGTATAAAACCTATATAAATATATATTTAAAAGGCTACGTGGCCTACTTACACCGTATCACTATAGTATTTTATATTATATACATTAATATATAGATATATAATACTATAGAAAAGTAGATAGAGCTGAAGTATTCTATTAATATATTAAATATAATATTACTTTTATTAATATAAACTTTTTGTAAAACACATTTATATGTTATACTTTATATATACATAAACGAAAACCGGATTTTTGGCTTTGAAATTTAAAATAAGTTTCGTATATTATTTTTAAATATTGAATTACTATGTAATTTTATAATTTCAACTTGTTTTAATTTCTTACAGTATAATTATTACCCCTTTTGATATTGTCACATAGACGTAGCTCCTTAGTTTTACACTTCTTCGTTGCCTACCTTAGTAATAGCAGCTCCTATATATACACTCCCGTTACTTCCTTTGCTTTAGTTAGTTCTTAGATAAAATAAAATCTTTTCTTCCTTTACTCCTTTTTTCGTAGTTTGTTACTCGTTAGATAGGCCCTCGCGCACGTTCTCGTATACGTAGCTCTCGTTACGTAATAGTTTTAAGCCTAGTTAACGCTTTAAGAACCTCTTTTCTTCTTTAGAGTCGCAAAGCACACGCAAGCTTTCCGAGTTTTATTTCTTCAGCTTTCTTCTAGCGCTCAATTTAAGTCTTTTTTCCTTGTCCCTTTTCTTAAAGCTCGACTTAATCGAATAGTCAGATAAGCGGCGGGAGCAGTTAGAAAATCTCTAAGTTTCTTCTTTTCTTTGATCTTTTCATTTCGACGAACAGGGTAGTAGCTCGTGTAAGTAACCTCTTTTCGGAATCGCCCCCGATCAACTAGCTGCGAGCCTTGGCTCGTCCCATTTTAAGAGGTTCATCCAAAGTCGGAGAACGATCTATTAAGGAAAAAAAAGAGAGCTTATTAATAAGGAATCGGTCTTAAGAGAGCTTTTAAAATAACAGCTCCAACTCTCTACTATAATAGTCTCTTACCATACGGCGAAAACGTTTTAACTCCTTAAAGTATTACTTTTCTATTTTTTGAGCTACCTTTTCCGTTATCGAAAGTAGCCCGAGGGCGTAAAGAAAACAAAGAAGCTAAAGCGTTGATTAACGCTGCGAGTTCTTAAGTAAGCTACCCGCAGTAAAAGGTGTATATTAACAACGTATACTCTCTTTAGTAATACGCGTAAATGAAGCGTTACAAGAAGCTATTGTAGCTTCTTAAGGTACCTACATTAAATAGCCCATTCGGCTGAGCTCTAAAGCTCAGCTTATTTCGATTTAAGCTTCTTAATACCGGAGCTTCCTTTATTAAGGATTTAAATAAATCGTCTGTTAATTGGCAGCGTTTGTAGGTCGATTGTTACTTTCTAAAGAAACGTTTAATTAGCTTTCCAGTCGTAAATCGACCTTCCTTAAGGGAAGTTACTCGTGGGTTTTTATATAAATCGGTCCGTTTAATTAGCAGCGTTGGTTAATCGACTGTTACTTTTTAAAGAGATATTTAATTCACTCTCTGATCGTAAATCGATTACCTACAGAAGAAATTACTCTCGGGTTTTTGTAGGTCTCCGAAAGCATCTAGGTTATCGACCTCTCTCTTATCGGTTACTTTAAAGCCTGTTTTATACAATTAAAGTACGGTAAGAGAGCTTCTTCAGGGCCCTTTCTCTCGCTACCCCCTCGATCTCGTTCCTAGGAAGTAAACGGCGGCGAGCTATCTTATTACGATAGCTTGCCCTTAGGAAACAAGCGGGAGAAAGGGCCCTTATACCGCTATACAATACTTTTATACCGTTTAAAGCTATTAGGTAGTATCTCTGAGAGCTCTGCTTACTTAGAGATACTCTCGGGGAAACCCCGTTCCGCGCTCTTTTTAAAAAAAAAAGCCCTCTAGATAGTTACGCTAGCTCTACTAAAAGGATCTGCATAGCTATGAAGCTACTACTCGTTTATTACCGAGCTTAGTAACCATATCCTTCTTATTTCTTAATAACTCGTCGTTGTTTCGAGAAGTAGAACTATAGTTGTTTAGTTAGTTAGGCTTTCACAAAAGGCTAATTTACCGAGAGAGAAAGGCTTAATTCTTCAGAAAGTAACAGATACCGTTATTACCAGGCTCGTTAAAAAGCGACCTACCCGGTATCGGTTAATCTGCTAGGCTTGTACGAAAGCGACCTACCCGGCGCCTTACCTACCAAGCTCGCTAGAGAGCGACCTGCCTGGCGCTTATTGCCCCTAGGCTCGTTTGTATATATACAAAAGCAACTTACCTAGAAGAGCTTCCCGTCGTATTATAAAAGTTAATAGCTTTTTAACAAGGTTTTTTTTATTATTATTTAGTTTTTAAAGTAGCTCTCTTATATATCATAGATAGATATTGTAGTGGTGCAGTGGATCTAGGCTACGTAGCCTTTTCGATATATATTTATATGAGTCGCACACTCATATTTTCATTAGTTAAACTTAGACCTATAGGCATTACGACCTCATAGGTATTTACTCGTTTCTTGCCATACCTTTCTAGCCATCCTTATTGCCCTCCCTTTCTAGCCCTCCTTTCCTAGCTGCCGTTTTAGCTGGCCGATCAACCGATTACAGCTGTTTACAGCTGTAATCTTGATTAATCGGCACTGGGCTAGTTGTTGGCGGTTAGGCAGTCCTTTTCTCGTACCTCCATCACAGCGTGCCCACGCTGCTCCTGTTCAATATAGCTTTCTTACTTTACGTAAGAAAGTAGTCAACGTCGATTTACGCCGTTGATTAAGGGATTCATTATATAGAGATCGCTCTTTAGTTTTGTAGCTCTTCGTTACTTACCTTAGTAATTGGAGCTTCTATATATACGCTTTCGTTACTTCCTTTCCTTTAGTTAGTTCTTAGATAGAACAAGACCTTTTCTTTCTTTACTTCTCCTTCCGTTGCTCGTTACTCATAAAATAGCTCCCTACGCACGCTCTCGTACACGTAGCTTCGGCTACGTAATAGATATCATATAACCTATATTTATTTAAAGAGTCTTGAAAACCTATTCGATTTATATAACTTATATATCTTTTGAAACCCGATATTAATAACGTTATAAATAGTTGAAAGTAGTAACTTGTCACAGAGCAGTTGAACCAGCCTTATAAGCCTACATACCGCAAAGCGTGAATGTAGGCGTCTACGTTTTACGTGACATAACTTTTATTATTTTTTAGTAAAAAGCAAGGTAGCCTGCGAGGGTAAAGTCTATTAAGTAACACATGGTACTTCTTAAAATATAAATCTAATTACAATGGTAAAAGCGCGTAATTAGAAGTAAGACTTTATATAAACTAAACTTATAACTTCTTCTAAATAGCTTTAAAACTAACAGATAGTAGTATAGTTAAATTAAGTAACTTCTAGCATTTTTAGATAAAAGAAAGGTAACCTGCTAAAGAAAAAGCTAGCTTATAATTATATAATGGATAGTATAAAGCCTTTTCTATCAACTTTAATACAATAAAGCCGAGTTGTTTTATATATATTTCTAATTAAATATTTAAACCCTTGCTCCGAAGAAGATTTATCCCAGCAGTTGCGTTGAAACCTACCCACTGGGAAACGCTGTTCCAGGTACCGCGCATTCTGGTAGTCTCGTCTAGGCGACGTTGTAGGAAGGATCGTGTCTCGCTGAAGCCAGCAGATCGGTCGTTAGTCATAAAGAGCTCAGACGAAGCGTAGATTATGGATAGCGAGCCGCGTTTTGTATACCACAATGGGTCGACTGAAGTGTCACCGGCAAGGAAGTAAATTTCGTCAACTAGCAGCGCCAGCTCTCGTAGTGAAGTTGGGATATGTGAAGGTAGCGACATGACGGCTAAGGCCTATGGTTTATGACAAGAAGAAGGCGAGTTGAGTTACCCGTTAGTGGATGGGTTGCCTAACTATAAATGCGAGTAGGCTGGAGAAGGGTAGGCAACAAATAAACAGCTTTAGCAGCTTGCGACTCACCTCTTGCCAGCGGTTATTCACGTATCGGTTTGCCAGCAGCCTCTCCCATGTAAGGCGCTCGACTTTGGCTGGGACATCAAGCAACAAAGAATCCCGCCCCTCAGTGCCGTAAATAGCCCTGCTTAGAGGCGCAATTGCCTCCCGCTGGGTAACGAGATGGTACCTGATGAGACTAAAAGGTCCCTCCGGGAGAATGTTTGTGCTGATATCAAGATAACCAGCATCACGAGCACCAAGCGACAGCGCGTGTTGGGTGAAACCGTGCTTGGGGACGTGGCGATATGCCGCAGACAGAATTGCCTTCTCAGGTTCGCTGAAGACACCCGGGGTGGGAGGATGATCGTAGGAGTGGTAGGAACAGCACACCCACGGGTTAAAACGAAACCCACAGCGGTTGTATACTAGACGTTGACCACCGACTTGTCGTAAAGCTGCGGAGAGCATTGCTGCAGGCGGAGAGGGAATCATTATTTCCCTATGAGTTAAGGCAGAATAAGATACAAATTACGAGAGGCTCAATCTCTATATCATCTGTCATGTAACTTTAGGCTATACCCACCTCAGGCTACCTTAATCTTACAAAAAAGGGTTAAAAGTCGCTCTTTTATAAATTAAATTTCTTCGTTAAATAAAATTATAAAATTATAAAATTCAAGATAAACTAAAGCTTATTATAAATTTCATTTTTTAAAAATGTTAAAGCTTTAATAATATATTATAATTAATTATGTTATAGTAATTAAGTTCTCTTCTTATCTGTATTTAATAAACTTGAAAGTTTCTCTAAACTTATCATTATTACTATTGAGAAAGTATAAAGCGTACATAATTGAAAAGCCCTATATAGTAAATATTAAAGTATACTTAATCAATAATTATAATATGTATAGTAGTTTAAGATAGATAAAATCAATATTATTTTAGTAATTAAAAGGTAGGAAACCTTGTGTAGTTATCATATCTTAAGTTTAGCTTACGATTATAAAAATATAATTGTTACTAATCTCAAGGTAAAGTAAGTTAGAAAAAAAAAGGAGATAAATGTAAAAGTTACTTAATTAGTTATTAAAGTCTAATAAAGTAATTAAAACACTTACGATTAAATGAAAGATTTTTATTATAAAGTAATAAACTTGATAATAAACTCAAATTTTAATCTAATTAAAATTAATAAAATAATGATTTTAATACTTTATTATAATAATAATTATAATATAATCTATACTTATGTAAGCTATAGTTACTCTATATAGGTATATAGCCTATTGTAACATATTATGTAATATATTAAAAGGGTATATTTTACTGTACTACTATGCTACCTCCTCTTATTATTATTATTATTACTACTTTTTAGAAGTTTTAAAGTAATATTAAGTTGTTATTAATTATTGCGCTTATTAATTAATAGTTTATAAAAATATTAAAACTACTTATTTATATAAAAAACAGCTCTTCTTTTTAGTTAACTTTATAAATTTAATTAAATTATATTACGTAAATTAGGAGAGCTACGTAGGTATTAATATTACTTTTAAGAGTAACGGAATGTAAAAAGAAAAAGGTAAATGAATTAACCATTAAAAAAGAGCAAAGCGTACGCGATACTAGAAGCCCGGATAGCTTACTCGAAAGTATACTCTATCGGTAACTATAGTACGTACGGTAGTCTAAGATAAATAAAACTAGTATTACTTCATTAATCTAAAGACAAGGAATTTAATATATTTATCCTATTTTAAGTATACCTTTCAGTTATAAAGATATAGTAGTCGCTAACTTAAAGGTAAAAAAGGTAAGGAAAGGAAAGGAGTTAAATTTAAAAGTTATGTATTTAGTTATTATAATACAACGAAGCCATTCAAGTGCTTATAATTAAAATAAATGTTTTAATCTGAAAACAACGAGTCCAATAATAAAAGCTATTCTTAAATTGAAGTAAAAATAATAAAGTTAATAATCTAGTTAAATTATAATTATTATAATATAATTTATACTTATGGGAGTTATGGTTACTCTATATAGGTATAAGGCTTATCGTAACGTATTACGTAATATATTTAAGGGATATGTTTTACCGTATTACTATATTATTAAAAGAAATAAATATATATTTAAATTACAATAACCTTGTAACTTTAATGACGATAAAGGTATTAAACCTAAAATAATAAAAATGAAAGAAATATTTTGATGGGTTTAACATTAAAAATACATATATAAAAGGAAAGAAAAATATTGAGAAAAATATCTTAAGCTGAAGAAACGACTATTATTCGAAGGTATTAAAGAAGAAAGGGTAGTTTCTATAATAAAAACTAAACGAAAGTATTATTCTTAATAATATAATAATATTCGTACTTAATGAGAAATGAAATGAAAAGATACGAACGGAAACTAAAAGAAAAGCCTAAGGAAATACGGATCTACTTTAAATAAATTAAGTATTAACTTATTAAGTATAATGATATATACTCAAGTCTCTTTAGTAAAACTTTATATAAGAATATTATTAGTATTTATTATATAAATACTAAGAAATATTTAAAATCTATAAACGAATAAAAAAAGAATATAGATTCTTGAGAATAAAAAGAAAAATATAAGAAGTTCTAGAGAAATATAACATGTATTAAAAAGCTACAGCTTTAAGGTATAAAGCTTATAGTTTATTATAACTAACCTTAATATTAAAGAAAACTTAGGATAGAATTGTATGAAACTTTATTATTAAGCTACTCCTATTAAAAGACCTAGCTATAGAGATTATATATACTAATATATAAACGATAATCGATCGACTTATAAAATATAAAAGATTTATTCCTTCTAAAGAATTAATAATAATAGAATAAATAGTGTTTTTATTCTTATAGTATCATATTAATAATTACAGACTCTTACGACGAATCGTTATAAATAAAGATAAATTAGATACTTTAAAGTTTTAAAAGATATTAATAAAAAGACTAAGGGTAAAATAAAAGTTATCTACCACCTTTCATATAAAATCAGACGAATAAATAAAAAAGTTAAATTGAACGTTTGAATATTATCTTGAAACCTACGTTAATTATAAGTAAAATAATTAGGTAGAGCTATTATTAATAGCTAAATTAGTATATAATACGGTAAAAATACGGTTATGAAAATTATACTTTACGAAACGGTTTATAAAAGAAAATAAGAGAAAATAAAAAGACTAATAATAAATAAAAAAGCTTTAATAATAATAAAAGCGCTACGAGCCATTGTTAAAATAAAATAAATAACTATATTATAAAATAACTATAAGAAAAGCTATTACTTATATAAAAAAGAATAAGGAAATATTATAACTTAAAGATAATTAAGAAATTAACTTTAGAAAAGGAGAGTAGAGTTTATTTATTACGTAAAAAATTATATATTACGAAAGAAATTCTTTAAATAAAAATTAAAAGACTAAGTAATAAACTCGACATTAAGAAATTTATACCTTTCCGGATCAAAAAGAAATTCTTAAAATTAAGTTACGAATTATAGCTACTAAATAATTCAAAAATCTATCTTATATATTATATTAATATTTTAAAATCTGCTAATAAAGATATAAAATTAGAAACTAATAAAGAAATAAAGGAAAAAAGTTCAAAGTTGAAAAAATCTTAGACTTACAAAAAGTAAGAAGTTAGCTTTAATACTGAATAGGAGCGGCGTGGGCACGCTGTGATGAAGGCACGACAAAAGGACTGCTCAACTGCTAACAGCTAGCCTAGTGCCGATCGAACTAAGATCACAGCTGTGAACAGTTGTAGTCAGTTAATCGGCCAGCTGAAAACGGCAGCTGGGAAAAGGACTAAAAAGAGAAGGGCAAGAAGGAGGCTCTAGAAAGGCATGGTAAAAGGAGTGAAATGCTGTAACTAGTAATAGCTACAGGTCTAAGTCTAACTAATGAAAATATAAGTGCGCGACCTATATAAATACGCATCTACAAGGCTACGTAGCCTATATCCACCGCACTACTACAATACTTAATAAAATAAATAGGATATCTATTAAAAGAAAATACTTAGGAATTAATTAATTACTTAACGAATATCCTTAGAAAGCTTAAGGACTTCTATCGATAAATCTAAATAGGCTTAAAGAATAAATAAATTAAAATCTGATAATCCCGAAGGAATCCGGTACGATAAGGCTCGGTAGTTAAAACCTGCTTAAAAGTAATAACTTCAAGAATAATATTATTAAAAGGAACGGAAGTAATAGCTTTAAGAGGATTAAAAGTAGCCGCTTTTTCCTTTAATATTAGATCTTACTTTATAAAATAACAAAGATTACTAATAATACGACGACGTTAACGACGGAAATGAATAGCCTTATTTCAAAGATCAGAAACGTAACATTTAATACAATTAAGTTCTTCTTGAGTATTATTTAATTCTACTTTAATAAGATTAACCTCTTTTATAATACGGTTTATTACTTTCGAGGAAGCCCCTTCACGATCGTAAAAGAAATAAATGATTAAGTACTTAGAATAAAACTTTTAATTTTTAATAATACGATAAAAAATAATAATCAAACGTAGCGAAAATAAATTATTTTCAAATTAATCGTTAGCCTTAAAGTAAATATAAGCTTATTACGACGACGCTTATAACGAGCCGATTAATAAAGTAAAAGACGAAAAGGAAGTATAGTAAAGATAAAAAAAAATAAGAAAAAATAATACTTACCATCGGATTGTTAGAATAAGAATTAAGGAAAAAAGAAATAATATTAGGAACTATAATTAAAGTAAGTATTAATAAGTACGAGTTAAAAAACGTAAGAAAAGAAAAGTAGAAATACTACGGGAATAGGATTATTTTAATTCCTCTTATATAAGCGACATTAAAAAAAGCTAAAACCGTTACCTACGGACGGTATTAAAAAAAGAGAAGATAACCGCCCGCGGGCAGTACTAAGAAAAGAAAATATCGACCGCCTATAGATACCTTAATACTTTAATTATAAACAGCTATATAAATTAAAAAATATTTCTATAGTTTAATTATTATCTTTTCAGTTGTTTAGTTATTAATTTTTAATATATTATTTACTTTTAATAAATATCTTAAACCGTGAGATTAAGAAGCATGTAAAGTATAGATTATATAATTATAACCAATTCTTTAATATATTAAGATAAGTATTATTACTACTTAGTGATACTAATATGTATAGTACGATTGTAACATTTTCAACCGTTTCTTCTTTTCGGCGAGCGGGATAGTTACTTTAATAAATAAAACGCCTTAATAAGTAACCTCGTTTTAAAAATGCTCCCAATTAACTAACTACAGATTTTAATTTGTTTGAAAGATTAATCTAAAGTCAGAGAACAAAAAGTATATTAAGGAGAGAAAGAACTTATCAAAGAGTAAGTTTACTAATTAAAGATTAGTTTTATTTCCGAAGAAGGCTTTTAGAAATAACGGCTTTCGATTTTTTCCCTATAATAATATTTTATTGTACAGTAGATGCTCTAGCTCTTTAAAGTACTGTCTTTTCATTTTTCAGGCTTCTCTTCTTTCAAAGAATAA